AGCAGCAGCAGCGTCAGCATCAGACCCCCACGTCTCAGCAGCTTCATGACTGGTACGCTCAGCGTGGGGCGTCTGGGGGTCCTGGTCGCTGCCCCTATGTCATTCGCGCCGGTCCCCGCGCTGGTCGCCCATGCAACAGTCTTCACACTGAGTACCGCTGCTTCGCTAGGCTTAGCGACGCCTGGCGCGCCAAGTTTCCTGATGCTACTGAGTTCCCCAACTGGGCAGACCTGCTTAGGCGTGATGTTCCTATCTTTGATCTTGACTATGATGCAATTCTTGCTGCCATGTATGCATTGATTGCTGAGGCTCTGCACACCTTCACGCTTGACTCAGGTGCTTCCCGCTGTTTCTTTCGCGACAGCACCACAGTCACTCCCCTCCCTGCACCTGTCCCTGTCTCACTGGCTGACCCCTCTGGGGGCCCAGTGCTTGCACGGTCCACTACTGTGCTTCCGTGTCCGGCGGTCCCGTCCGGTGAGCTGTCAGGTCTCCACATCCCCTCGTTCTCTACGAACCTGGTGAGCAACGCCGTCCTTCAGGATCATTGGGTTGACACCTTTACTCCTGGAGGACAGCGTGTGGCGATCTGTACGTGCTCTAGGACTGGCCGCCACCTGGCCACGTTCACACGTGCGCCAGGGTCCAGTCTGTACACCCTCACCACTGTGTCGTGCTACACCCCTGTGTTTCTTCAGCTGTGAGTGTCGCCGTTTGTCGTACCAGACTCTCCTCTGGCACCACCGCCTTGGTCACCCCTCCCTACCGCGCCTTCGTGGCATGCACTCTCGCCTCCTGGTCTCTGGTCTTCCCAGGTCTCTGCTCGCTCTCCCACCCTCACCTGCGCCGCCCTACATTCCTTGCGTCGAGGGGCGGCAGCGCGCCGCTCCTCACTCCTCCTCGTTCCCTCCCACAGAGGCTCCACTGCAGACTCTCCACCTGGACATGTGGGGCCCAGCCCGCGTCCAGGGGTAGGGCCGCGAGCGGTACTTCCTGCTGGTCGTCGACGACTACACGCGTTACACCACGGTCTTCCCCTTGCGCAGCAAGGGTCAGGTCCCTGATGTTCTGATCCCTTGGATCCGCGCTGTTCATCTCCAGCTCCGCGAGCGGTTCCAGTCGGACTTTCCTGTCCTGCGTCTGCACTCTGACAGAGGTGGTGAGTTCTCCTCCGACCTCTTGCGAGCTTTCTGTGAGGAGCACGGCATCCGCCGGTCATTCACGCTTTCGGCCTCTCCACAGCAGAATGGGGTTTCTGAGCGCCGCATTGGCTTAGTCATGGAGGTCGCTCGTACCTCCATGGTCCATGCGGCTGCCCCCCATTTTCTGTGGCCGTTTACGGTCCGGTACGCCGCGCATCAACTCAACCTCTGGCCCCGTGTCTCCTTGCCGGAGACCTCGCCCACACTGCTGTGGACGGGGGAGGTTGGCGATGCGTCGCGCTTCCGGGTCTGGGGTGCTCGTGCCTTTGTCCGCGATACCACCGCGGACAAGCTCTCCGCTCGCGCCATTCCCTGCGTCTTCCTTGGTTTTCCCCCTGACGCGCTTGGCTGGCAGTTTTACGACCTCGCTTCGCGCCATGTCTTTGCGTCTCAGGACGTCACCTTCGACGAGTCGGTCCCCTTTTACCGTCTCTTTCCCTACCGCACTGCCGCTCGCCCCCCCCCCCCCCCCCCCCCCCCCCCTCCGCTCTTTCTTGCTCCAGGTCCTCCCGAGGTAGAACCCCTCCCCGCGCCAGGTCCTACTCCTTCAGGTGTTTCTCAGGTAGACCCTCCTGTGCCTGAGCCTGTTGAGGTCACTGGTGGCTTAGGTCCTGCTGGGGGTGGTCCTGCTCAGGGTTTTGCGTCTTAGGGTGCTGAGCCTGAGCGTGCAGAGCCTGGGGGTGCTGAGCCTGGGGGTGCTGCGTCTGGGGGTGCTGAGCCTGTGCGTGAGGAGCCTAGGGTGCTGCGTCTGGGGGTGCTGAGCCTGAGCGTGCGGAGCCTAAGGGTGCTGAGTCTGGGGGTGCTAAGCCTGAGAGTGAGGAGCCTGGGGGTGCTGCATCTGGGGGTGCGGCGGCTGAGGGTACTGAGACTAATGGTGCGCGGTCTCCTTGGAGTGGCCGCCTTCATCCGCGTGCGCCTCTCTCCCGGCAGCAGCTGCACGAGTGGTACGCTCGCTGTCAGGGTCGCGCTGCTGAAGCTAGGGGCTCTGCCGCTGGAGGCGCTTCTGCTGACGTCCCTGGAGCTGGGGGTGCCGGTTCAGAGGGTACTGGGGCTGGTGCGAGAGGTGCCGACGACGCTGGAGCCGCTGGGCCTGGGGACGCTAGAGCTAGTGGTACTGCTGACCCTGCCGCAGGAGGTGCTATTGGAGCTGCTGACCCTAGAGCTGGGAGTACTGCGGGTACTTTGTCTGCTGGAGGTGCTGGAGCGGCTGGACCCGGATGTGCTCGTACTGAAGGTACTAGAGCTGCTAGGACTGGAGGTGCCGGTTCTGGGGGTATTGCTGCTGGTGCAGAAGGTCCTTCAGCGCTTCGGCTTCACCTGGTCCTCCCCACAGTCCACTCCTTTGGCTATAGGTCACTCGCTCTCAGCTCCACCTTCGGACGAGTCCGTAGAGCCGAGTGGTCCTTACCCAGAGCTAGTGGGTTGCCTCACTTACCTGATGACCTGCACTCGACCTGACCTTGCGTACCCTCTTGGCCTTCTGGCTCGCTACGTGGCTCCTGGTAGGCACCAAAAGGTGCACTGGGAAGCTGCGAAGAGGGTACTGCGCTACCTGTGCAGTACATCAGGCATGGGGCTCGTGCTTGGAGGACGGGGTGCCGTTGTCCTCACTGGACACTCTGACGCGTCTTGGGTTGACGATCAGGCTACGCAGCGGTCGTCGCAGGGTTACACCTTCAGTCTTGGCTCTGGCTCTGTTTCTTGGCGGTCTACCCGCTCATCTTCTGTTCTCAGCTCCAGTTGTGAGGCCGAGATCTACGCCACAGCCATGGCTGCACAGGAGTTATGCTGGCTCACCTACCTGTTGACTGACTTGGGAGAGCGGCCTCGTTCTCCTCCAGTTCTGTACGTTGACAACAAGGCCGCCATTGCCTTGTGTTAGGAGCACAGACTGGAGCACAGAACAAAGCACATCGCTCTGCATTACTTCCTTGCTCGAGAGTTGCAGCAGCGAGGTCAGCTTCGTCTTGCTCACGTGGCCACTCGGGCCAACACTGCTGATATATTCACCAAGGCACTTCCGTCTGGTGATCATCAGCGCTTCTGCACTTTGTTAGGTTTTGTATTTATGTTTCCACACTTGCTGTAGGCTTTGCTTGTACTGTGATCTATATACATATACCTGCATGCTTGCTCTTGCTAGGTAGTGATCACTGTGCTGTTCCTGTTGCATATATACCTCTGCATGTGGACTGGCCTTGTGGCCCTTTGCTTGTGCTCAGTGTGTGTGGTGACGTTGTGATCCACCCTGAGCTTGCTTTGCTTTGCTTGACTGGTCTTGTGACCCCTTGTTCTCCCTCACTTTGCCTATGGGGGTGTGTCAAATTATATATGTGGTATGTATGTGTAGGCTGTAGTGGGGTAGCCAATATGGGGTATAGCCCCTTAAGGGTTTCATATTTGTACCCAACACGATTCTAGTGCCATCATCTCTGCTAGTTCTTTCAACAGTAAAAGAAAATTTAAGGAGTGCGACACTATTTTCGACCCCGACAAAAACCAGACCATCGGCAACAAATACCCAGCCAAAAAAGTCGGAGTTGAAGAAGTTGTAGCAGCTGTCGGTGTTTCTCCTAATTCAGCTTTCTACTCGACGAAGGTGTAGCGGGGGGTTCCGAAGCTGCGGAGTTTTAAACGCGATAGGCACGGTGGGCAGCGAAGCGGCCGGAAGGGAGTTTGATATGATAATCTTGCTCCGACTACGATAGTGTTCGCGCCTTCACCGAACGTCAGGAAAATCGCAGGCAACACGGAGAATGCCCCATCCGACAAGAGCGGACGTTAGTGAACGGCGGCAAGCGAAATTGTCGGGGGGCGAAATTGTCCTGATGGCTCAGGGTGCCCTAAATCCTAGCATAAGTATTGGGAGTCACTTACGCTATTGTCCAAAACATGTTTTTTTTTTTTTCATCTTCTATAAATAAAGAGGATGAAAAAAACTAGGTACATAACGATTGTAAAAAGTTGCTCCGCAACCCAAAAAAAGCTGCAGCGTCATAATGAGGTATAGATACTTTATGTTGCTGCTTCGTATCGACATTCCTCCTTCGCTTGATCGCAGGTCTCTCCCAACCTGTTCGCACCTAGTCTGGATCCGTTCATGCCAAGCTAACAGCTACTAGTTCAGTTACTACCTAGGTTGGTTCCAAGCGATTCAAGTCCTATTGGACGTCTGAATTACGCCACGCACTAGCAATCTAGCCTCGAGAACTCCAGCACTTATTAGCGTTATCAGCTTTCCGTTCCCCTTTCTCATTTTCACGAAATTATCTTAACCCACCAGTCGCAATGGCAGAACTCAATTACCGGTAGCTGCTCAATCGCGTTTGAAGTAGATTAGGTAATCAGAACTAAGTTACCAAAAGAGTCGTTCCAGCGAATGTGGTGATACAGTTATAAGTGATGCTGGTGGTACTTCAAAACCCCAGCGACTCGTAGCTTCTAGCGATGGAATCCTCAACTCCCAGCCATGCAGCGCATAATAATCACGGTAATAGCGGCACGCCGTACGGCGGCAACAGCGTCGTGACGCGATCGCGAATGCATCGATCATACTCGTTCACAGGCGCGGCAAACCCGCATATGCATCTCCTGAACATAATAAAACACCCGCTACTGTCACCAAAGGCCTCGGCCAATCCCCCTGTCAGAAAACTAGCGTAAGAATGAGTGCATTGAATGGAACAGTTGGGTACAAGTAGCAAACCCTTGGCGACGGTCAACGGGCTCAAGCACGACGTGTCCCGCTGGACGCTCGGTGGCGTGCCCATCACGGCGATGATGAGTTCAAAGCCCACCATGAAGGGCGGGGCCACGGAGCCCGGGGTGAACGCCAACAAGGTCGACCTCAACAGCGCGCCCGTGCAGACCCTGTACGCCAACGCGGGCAGCTGGCTGCTGGACGATCTGTACCGCAACCAGGGTCCCATCCAGTTTGAGGGGCCCAGCGCTGAGGCGCGCCCCATCACGCTGACCATGGAGGACCACAGCTACGTGGAGCAGATGCACACGCTGCACAAGTACCTCGACCAGGTCAGGGAGCTGGTGAAGCCAGGGTGCGCCCCCGAGGCGCTCAACACGGCGCTGTCCTCCCTGGCATCGCTCACCCACGTGCTCACCATCCTCACCGGCCCCGGCTCCTCCTTTGCTGCCCCCGACCCCCTCCCCTCGCCCCGCGTCTCCTATGTGGTTGGCATGTGGAAGTAGGCGGTGGAAAGTAGATGTGCTAGTGGAGAGAAATGGTTTGGGAAGTGGATGGGAGAGTATTGGGTTGATTTGATAGATTACCATATGTGTGGATTTCATATGTTGGGTTACTATGTGTGTTAGAAATTACAGGAACCCCTTTGGTTCTGGTTTCTCATCTTCCCTTGATGTCTTGCAATGGCTAGTTGGAGGAGGATTGGTGAGGATCTAAAAAAAAATAAAAATAAAACAAATAGGAGGCGGAAGCGGCTGATGCTGAAACTTCACTCCTGCCACCCCTTCACACTCACCCCCACGCCAGCAGGCGCGGCATCCCTACCGCCACTCCCTCATCTCCCCCACCCCCCCCCCCTTCCCACTACTGCACGCGCAGCAGGGAGCGGGAGGAGAAGGCGGGCGGGGTAGGGGCTGCGCATGCGGCTGTAGATGCGTGTGCAGCCGCGCGCAGCCGCCACGCGCGCAGGTGCACACAGCTGCGCACACATGCAACTGCAGTGCGCGGCTGTGCGCGGCTGCACACGACCGTACGCGGCTGTACGTGGCTGCGCGCGGCTGTGCGCGGCTGCGCACGGCCGTACGCAGCTGCTCGCAACGGGACAAGGGGGGCGGGTAGCGTGAGGCGGGGCGACGAAGCAGCGGGGTCCACGCGACGAGGCGGACGACGAGGGCCGCGAGCGCCCTCCCGAAGCGTGCGCGAAGCGCGTGCGCGACGCGCGCACCCGAAGCGCGTGCGAAACGCCCGCGAACCGTGCAGGGAGGTGATTTCGACGCCATCAGCTCGCGCAGCTACTGCAGCAGAAAAATAGGTCGCCATGTGTGACGGCGGATCGGGTGGGCCCATGAAAAATAGGTCCTAGGAAGGACAAGGCTCTGATACCATGTTAGAATCCTAAGATAACTTAGGACTAGGGTTTAGGGGTGAAAGAAGAATGTCGAGAGAGTTTGACCAAAAGAGGAGGGGTTCACTATAGGTGCAAGGATACAAATAGGAAAGAACAAGCATAAGAAGAAAGGTGCACCACCTAACAAGCAAGATAACTACACTATGTTATGCTACAGGCAGTTAATACAAATATATATTAACAACCCTAGTTGGGGTTGTACCCCATATTGGCTACCCCACTACAGCCTACCAACATATAACACATTACAATTTAACACACCCCCATAAGCAAAGTGGGGGAGAACAAAGGGTCACAAGACCAGTCCAGCAAAGCAACGCAAGCCCAGGGTGGATCACACCACACTCCGAGCACAAGCAAAGGCCACAAGGCCAGTTCACATGTAGTGCTAGATATAGTACAAGACAAGCAACACAGTGATCAAAACCTAGCAAGCAAGCAACAAGATATATATAAAGTACAGTACAAAGAAAGTCAAGCAGTAAGCAAATGAGGGAATGTGGACACAAGGCCTAAAGAAGTACAGTGCCGCTGATGATCACTAGGCGGGAGCGCCTTGGTGAAGATATCAGCAGTGTTGGCCTTCGAGTCCACGTACACAAGCCGAAGCTGACCTCGCTGCTGCAGCTCTCGAGCAAGAAAGTAGCGAAGAGCAATGTGCTTCGTCCTGTGCTCCAGTCTGTGCTCCTGACACAAGGCAAGGGCCGCCTTGTTGTCGCCGTACAGAACTGGAGGAGAACTAGGCCGCTCTCCCAAGTCAGTCAGCAGGTAGGTGAGCCAGCGTAACTCCTGTGCAGCCATGGCCGTGGCGTAGATCTCAGCCTCACAACTAGAGCTGAGAACAGAAGAAGAGCGGGTGGACCGCCACGAGACAGAACCAGAGCCAAGGCTGAAGGTGTAACCCTGTGACGACCGCTGCGTAGCCAGGTCGTCCACCCAAGAAGCGTCCGAGTGACCAGTGAGGACAACTCTGTCGCGTCCTCCAAGCACCAGCCCCATGCCTGATGTACTGCACAAGTAACGCAGCACCCTCTTAGCAGCCTCCCAGTGCTCTCGCCTGTGTCTCCCAAGCGCAACGTAACGAGCAAGGATGCTAAGAGGGTACGCGAGGTCAGGTCGCGTGCAAGTCATCAGGTACATGAGGCAGCCTACAAGCTCTGGGTACGGGCCACTCGGCTCTACGGACTCGTCCGAAGGTGGAGCTGAGAGCGAGTGACCTGTAGCCAGAGGTGTGGCCTGTGGTGAGGAGAACTGGAAGCCGAAGCGCTGAAGGACCTGCTGCACCATGTGTGACTGAGTCAGGGTAATGGTGCGGCGTGCTCTGTCCTGGGTGATCTGCAAGCCAAGGTAGCTACGCAGCTCACCCAGGTCAGTGCATGTGTGTCTCTTCTGCAGCTCCGACTTCACACGAGCGAGTGCCTCAGTGTCAGCAGTAGCAAAGACCAAGTCGTCGACGTACACGAGGATGTAGAACGGCGGCAGCGACGTGTCTGTGCGCAGGAACAGCGACGGGTCAGCAGTGGAAGGAGCAAACCCAAGGGCCGCAAGTGTAGTCCTCAGTGTGTCGTGCCACTCGCGAGGCGCCTGGCGGAGACCGTAGACTGGCCGCCGGAGGCTCCACTGGGTACCAGGAGGAAACGACCCAGTAAAGCCAGGTGGGCGGCGCAGCCAGATCTCCTCGTGCAGGCTGCCCTGCAAGAACGCTGTGCTGAAGTCAAGAGAGTGAAGCTCGTAGTCACGCTGAGCAGCAACGTGCAGCAGAACCCGAAGAGTGGTCATCTTCGGGGTGGGGGAGAAGGTCTGGAAGAAGTCAACCCCCTGACGCTGACTGAAGCCTCTGGCAACGTAACGAGCCTTGAAGACAGGTGGAGAACCTGGCGGCCGCTTCACCCTGAAAATCCACATGCCATCGACGATGTTCGCCCCAGGAGGGGGAACCTCGTCGACGTAGGTGCCTGTGGACTTCCAGGATGCCATCTCTGCGTCCATGGCTGTCTGCCACTGAGAGGAGTAGGGACCCGAGATCGCCTCTGCGTAAGAGCGCGGAGTGGGGATGTCTAGTGCATCCGGGTCTCCCTCAGGGGCAAGCAACCAGGCCACGAGATGAGGTACAGCAGCCGCAAGAGAGTCAAAGTCCTCCTGCCTGTCCTCAAGGACGTCCGTGCTAAGAGCACACTCACCCTCGACGGGGGAGGACAGACAGACTCAGACTCAGCAACAAGACTGGCGGCGTAGTCTAGACGACAGGCAGCAGCAAAGTCGACAAGCTCAGCGACCAGGGCAGACGCAGCAGCAGACTCAAAAGACGGGTCAGTGACAACAGTGGCGAGAAGACGCGTAACAGTAGGGTGGGCAGCACGAACACTGTCAGACTCAGGGTCGGGAACGTCAGGAAGAGAAGACGCAGGAGGAGACGGTAGGGGGACACGCTGTGGACCAGTGGAAGGACGAAGGGCCATAATATGCGTGCCAGGAACAGGAGGAGGACGCGGACGCGCGACACGACGACCAGTGGGACCAGTGCGCGCAGTGCGAGCTGTGCAAGCAGCACGAACAGGCGAGGCAGGACGAGACACAGGCTCACGACGCTCCGTAAGCGAGTCCGGCTGTGCAGTGTAAGGCACAGGAGCAGGGAGGGGGGAGCCAGGCTGGAGGGGAAGGCCAGTGGAAGACGGGAGGGAAAGAACCTGGCGAAGCACCGTGTCAGGCGGTGGCAAAGCCGACGGCGACGGTGGAGCGAAGAACAGGCGCGACGGCGGAGCTCCGCCAGCACCTCCAGCACCCGCAGCACCAGAAGCACCAGGACCAGCACCCCCCGCCGCAGCACCCCCAGAGCCGGCGACGTCAGCACCAGAGGCCCCAGCAGCGTCAGACCTCCCCTCGCCAGCACCTCCAGAACCAGCAGGACCAACGCGTCCAAAACCGTCAGCTCCAGTGTCGTCAGCCCCAGCAGCTCCAGTACCTCCAGGAAGAGCACCCCCAGAGCCGGCAGCTCCAACCCCGCTAGCACCGCCAGCTCCAGCAGCTCCAGCCTCAGTGCTCCCAGAACAACCAGCCCCGGCAGCTCCAGTACCTCCAGTACGAGCACCTCCAGGACGAGCAGCTCCAGAACCTCCAACTCCAGCAGGGCCACGAGGACGGCGAAAGCGCCAGACGTACCAGTCACGAAGCTGCTGCTGTGTGAGAGACGGCTCAGCACCCCGAACCGGAGCACCCCCAGACGCAGCAACCCCCGGCTCCGTAGGCTCAGACGCAGCACCCCCAGGCTCAGTACCCTCAGGCGCAGCACCCCCAGGCTCAGCACCCCCAGACTCGGCACCCCCAGACTCAGTACACCCAGGCTCCGTACACGCAGGCTCAGCACCCCCAGTCGCAGCACCCCCAGGCTCAGCACCCCCAGGCTCCGTACTCTCAGGCACCGTACCCTCAGCTCCAGCACCCTCAGTCCCAGCACCCGCAGCCCCAGCACCCCCAGGCCCAGCACCCCCAGGCTCAGCACTCCCAGCAGCACCACCCGCAGCAGCACCTGAGTCACCTGTGACCTCAACAGGCTCAGCGACGGGAGGAGGGTCTACCTGAGAGACACCTGAAGGAGCAGGACCCTGAGGGGGGAGGGGGTCTACCGGAGGGGGACCAGGAGCGAGGAAAAGCGGCGGGGGAGGGAGGGGGGCAGTGCGGTAGGGGAAGAGACGGTAAAAAGGGACCGACTCGTCAAAGGTGACGTCTTGAGAGGCGAAGACCCGGCGCGAGGTGGGGTGGTAAAATTGCCAGCCAGGCGCGTCAGGGACAAAGCCAAGGAAGACACAGGGAAGCGTGCGGGAGGAGAGCTTGTCCGCGGACGTATCGCGGACAAGGGCACGAGCACCCCACACCCGGAAGCGCGACGCATCGCCAACCTCCCCCGTCCAACGCAGTGTGGGCGAGGTCTCCGGCAAGGAGGCACGGGGCCAGAGGTTGAGCTGATGCGCGGCGTACCGGACAGCAAACGGCCACAGAAAATGGGGAGCCGCCGCATGGACCAAGGAGGTACGAGCGACCTCCATGACCAGGCCAATGCGGCGCTCAGCAACCCCATTCTGCTGTGGGGAGTCCGGAAGC